CACCATCTTCCGACATGGTTAGTCAAATAGCTCTTACCTTCAGAAAGTTCTTCCTAGTGTTTATTCAGTATCTCCTTTCTTGTGCTTTTAATTCATTGGTTTGGGTCCTACTCTCTGCAGCTGCTACATTCCATATGACAGCCCTTCAAATAGTTGAAGATGGCTATCAATCATCTCTCAGTCTTCACTTCTCCAGGCTAAGCATACCGAACTCCCTCAACCATTCTTCTTCAGAACACACTTTCTATACTTCCATCATCAGGTGTCCTTTGCTCTCTGGCTGCCCAGCTCCTTCCCACAGAGGACTGAGTCATGGTCATCAGCTTGACACATTAATGGAAAGCCATATCAAGCACAATTAGCTGTGATAGTCTTTAAGACATGCCTTCAAAAATGTAAAAAGTGAGAATGCCTGCTGAATCTCTGCACAAGAATGGAGACACCAAGTTCCCAACTTCTAGTTGAGGTCAGTTGGACTTCTGGTGATTATATGGCTCAGACAGTCCTTAAGGTATCCAAGTTGTTCAGGGCTTTGTATACCAAGTTGTTCAGAGCTTTATATATCAATGCAAGAATCTTGTAACTAGCCTGGTAGGATACCTGGTAGGTAGCGAGTGCAGATGTTTTAGCAGAGATGTCACATGTTGTTGTCTGTCTGCCCCCATTAACTAGCTGCTGCACCAGCTAGACCTTCCAGACCAGGCCCAAGCACAGGCCCCACATAGAGTGCACTGCAGTAATCCAGTCTTCATGTTACCAATGCATGGACTACAGTGGCCAAGATATCCTGATCTAGAAATGACCATTGGTGGCATAACAGTCAAAGCTGGTGAAATGAACACCTCACCACCAAAGCTACTTGGGCCTCTACTTTGCAAATTAGATCCGAGGTGGTCTATCTTCTGGACATGAGCCTCTGTCTTCCCAGCTTCAGTGCTCAAGGCAATATCTCTGTTGTTGTTGTTTTTACTTTTTGAGCTGATGTCAAAATATGAAATCTAAAAAGCTGCCAACTATCAAAACATTTTCAAAAGTAAGCATGGACCAATGGTATCAAATAGTATGGGAAACAGCCTTACTAGAACAACTAACCAATAAACTGAAACTGACACGGGGACAAATAGAAGAAGATGCCTTCACCCCGGTATGGCACCCCTTTATCACATACACAGCCCAACAAGATGACAACAAGAATCCGCCAACAGCATACGAATCAATATGGCTAACCTGATTCAAAAAAACACACACACACCACTCACATATGAAAACAAAGTTCACCATCCAATCACAAACAAACAACCACACCCTAGGCCAACCCCAAACTCTCTCACCACCAAAGGCATACAAGTGAATAGTAAAGAGAACCTGCACAAGCGGCACTGACACAAAACCCCACACATACACTAAATAGAATAGAAGCATTGCTACCTGACCCCACCCCCACTCACAATGCCCGCCTCCCCCTCTTTCCCCCTTTTCTGCCTGATGTAACACTAATGTCTCAACAAATGAAACTGATCTGTAGAAAATGTAACTTGAAAAATAGACATTGCACATACTTTTGTAAACCAAGAAATCTTTAATAAAAAAAGTAAAAAACAAAATTCAAAATGAAGAATGTCACTGTACGTTGGCCAGAAAATGCTTTTTGATATTAGCTGCCGACGATATAACATTGAAATGAGGTAGTTACGTAGGTTTCATGTTTAGTCAGTGTTTATTCTATTTAGTTCTTTCCCCCAAGGAGTTCATGATCCTCCCCACTCCATTTTATCTTCACAACAATCCTGGGCGTTTTGCTAGGCTGAGCAGAACTCAGGGCTGGCTCCAGTTTTTTAGGGGGTCAGACCCTTTGGTGGCTCCTCTCTTCTTTTGATGGGTCCTCATGAGCCTGCCTGATAGTGGTGGAGGGCAGCAGCAGCAGCAGCATAGGGCATCTGCCTCTGGCTGCTAGTTATATTTCCTAAAGCGCCCCCAGAGCACACTATGTCAAGAGCATTGCGGGAAATGCAAATGGTTGCTAGACTGAGCTTCATGATGGCCAAGAGCAACTCCTATATATATATATATATATATATATATATATATATATATATATACACACACACAAATCTTGGTAGGGATTTATTTTTGATTAATGCAGAAACAGGAGACCTTGGACTTAATCATGAACATGTGCAAAATCGACAGGGACTGGAAATGGCCTGCTCCATCCATCCCTACCTTGCATTGATCTAGCTGGGCTTTTCTTCTGTTCTTACACTCCACTTAGAACATAAAAAAGATAAAAGTGTCTCAGTTCAAATGCAGCGCTGAGGTAATACTTGTTCACACAGTTGTTATCAAGGCATAAGGCCAAAATACTGTCCCTTCTCATCTGTTCATCAAATAAGTCTTTCATTTAGTAGGATTCAGAGCTGTCTTTGAAACTACACAAACAAGGGGTTTTTTTTGCCATCTCCCCTCATTTCTGTGTCTCAACGCTTCACTGCCATGGAAACAGTGTCCACAGCTCTGGAGCTTCTGCAGAAATTTGTGTCCCCCTGTCACCCAATGGGATTCTCTTGCTCTGCATTTCAAACTCTCCACCCATTCTACAACTCAGTATGTGGTAAATTGGTTTGCAGCCAAGTACTCAGTCTCAACAAGACCATGGACTGCAATGTCAGGTGGTTTGTTTTTAATATACTTAGTTCACCATTTACAAAGATGGAATTGTGGTGAAGTATTTAAGTGTAAAGTATTGTCATCGAGTAAAATACTTCAGTCTGACACTCTCTAACTATGGCTCAGTATCTTTCTGAAGGATTGGATGATGATACCAAGACAAGATGTCATAATCTAAGAGGTCTGCTGCCACAGGGAGAAATGTATATAAATACTTAGAGAATGTCACCAAGGTGCTACTTCAAAAATAATTACAGAATGCACAGATCATGGAATGGTCACATGCCGATAAAGTGTTAGAAAGAAGTTACTAGGAAACAGATGGGAAGAAAATTCCAACAGCACAACCCCATTATATAAAACGATAATATGTGTAAGGCTGAAATATTATATTCAGTCCTTCAAAAAGTGATTTCACACACAGAGAGAGAGAAAGAGAAAGAGAGAGAGAAGCCCATTTTTCTACATGATGTTTTACATAGGTAAGGTGGGTTGTTGCCCCAAACACCTTACAACAGAGAAAAGGGGAAAGGAAATGAAGGCATGGGTCAACATGGGAAGAATATGTGACAATTACATGTACTTTGACTTAGTAACGGCATGGAAGGGGTTACCAGTTTTTGGTACCGGTGGACACATTAGGAATTTTGAGAAAGTGTCACAAGCACCACTCACAAGATGGATGTTATAAGCTGTATGGCATAATACAAAATGGCTGCCACAACTAAGAAAGAGCAAGAAAAGAGACACGAATTCAAAATGCTATGGGCATGACCTCCATCAGTAGGAGGGGAGGGGAGGAGGAAGAGGCAACAGTTGCTCATGTATTATGGATTTTTGAGGGGATATTTACTGAGACTTTATTAAAGCACCAGGGGCCACCCATTTGGCTACAACTAAGCCAAGTTCTTTGGCTTAGTTATAATTAGGGTGACAATATAAAGGCTTCCCATAAAAGGTGAGATTTGAGAATGGAGTTTTTAAAAAAATAAATGAGGTGGTTGCACAATTCGCTTCCAGGAGGCTGTTCCAGGCATAAATGGGAAAGGGTAGAATCATTTCAGAGAAAGAGGCGACGTTTGGATGCCTCATGGAAGGCGAACTGCAGTGCAGGAGAAACGCTGCTCCATGCAAGTGAATATAGGGTGGAACAGGAAACAGTTCCTTCTAACAGCCCCAGTGGTCATGGAATGTTGAACAAATGTTGTGGAATGAAACAGCCAGGGAGGAAAGGAAACAGAATGGCTGGAATACTGAACAGCAGCACGCCACATTTTGTTGTGAGCCCCACTTGTATTCTTTAAGTAAAATCTCGCTTATCGCTTGATGCCATGTACTTTATTAGTTGCTTGAAATAATACCATGGATCCTGCAGCCTAATCACATTTTAGTACCATATTCATTCCAAAAACAATTAACACTTTCTTGGTTTTGTATAAGCCCCATAGTGATTGCAAATTAGAAGCCATTTGAGTAGTGACGGTGCAGTGTGAACTTAGCGCAACCTTAATGCTTTTCTTCCACTGCAGTCATATTTCATCCTTAGTGTTTGAATTATTAAGCTTAATTGTAGTCTTGCTAAAGCCACCAAAGTCATATTTATGGGATTTATATGTGTCATGGGCTGATGACAGCTTTATGAGTGGAATTGATCAGAGCATCTCGATACATTTGTTACTTTCTTTTCCCTTTATAATGAAATGATGGCTTTTGCAGTAGGCCTTCAAAATTTTAATGACCGTTCTTCTATGAAAACTTATATTTTATAAATCTACATAGCTTTAGATTTTATTCCACTGCTCATTTTCTAATGGGGTGATAATCCAGAAAATATTTTTCCCCCTAAGGTTGTTGAGGCAAAGGAGGAGACTAAGTTTATGTCTTAAGTTTACTGTTTCTTCCTGTGGAATCCAGTCATTAATAATACTGGGCTTGCATTGAAGCTAACAATGATGTTCAAGTTTGTTAGCTATTTACAGAATATATATATGGAGGGGTTCACAGCATTGACACCTAAAAAGGGTCTTGCTTCTTCCATAGCAGAAGCCTGAAGCAGAAGCCAGCCGTGCCTCTCGCTTTGCCTTTTCAGCCCACCACTTTTTTCCTCTAGGTCACATCACAGCAAACTCTGCCCTCTCACTCAGGCTTTGTTCTTCTAACTATCCAAGAGTTTGAGGAGGGGCCTAACCCATTTTGTGTCTTTCAATAATCCCCCTTTCCTTTGTTCTCTTAATGGCCCATCACCCAGGTGATGACCTCAACACAGGAAGTTAGCCTGACTTATATTTTAAAACTTGCTGGATCCAGGGATCAAAAAGCTTGATTAGATTTTAACACCCACAAACTCATGACAATATATATATATATATATATATATATATATATATATATATATGTGTGTGTGTGTGTGTGTGTGTGTATAATATTCTAAGTCACTTCGTGATGAAAGGTGATTGCAGGGGAGGATGGCTCCAGGATTTTATTTTATTATTTATTCTGGAGCAAGAGTGATTATATCATCTGCCAGAGCACCAGGGACATTCCTTAAAAGTGAATGAGGCTTTCTGATTTCTTTGTGACAGATTGGCATAGGGGAATTCAGAGAACAAACAGGGACTGGGAACGTCTTTCCTTTCCTTTGATGGCATTCCTAGATCCTAGTAGCAGTTTAAATGGTAACACTGTTTTACAATATTGTTTCCAGTTACTATGCCGCTTACCATAAACTATTATTTAGCACAGCAGCACCTGCACTGTGGAACAGGCTTCCCCATGAAATTAGACAGGCATGGATGACTTTCCATGGTATACTAAAATTACTTGCAATATTGAACATTTGTTGTATTTTTTTGTTTGAAAAGCAGGGTATAAGTTCCTAAACAAATTAATGAAATAATAAATCAGTTGCGGATTTTTGTGCATGAATAGCCTGATTCCCCCCCCCCCCCCCCGGTTCCCCACCACCAACTTCATTGTGAGCTTCAACATTTCTTGCTCCATTTCCCAGCTTTGCTCTTCTAATCCTTTACATATTTGTAATTTTTCAGCTAGCTGTACTCCCCGCACCCCCTCCAAACGGATTCCAATGTACCGCACATTATGACAGTCAAGGAGAACCTTTGTATCCATCTGTTAACTCTGCCGGCTGAGGAAAATTACCGTGTTCATTTCAAGAAGTGATTTCTTTGCTCCACTGTATCTGGAAATTACACCTTTCTTCCAGGTCATTTGTATGTGGAGGAATACAGAGTTAGCCTAAAAGCGAAGCAAGGCAGCATTAGCCAACTCAGCTTGTTATCTCTCTTGGATACTGCTAATAATGGAGGCTTCCCTTTTCTCTCTCTGCATAAGGCCCCTGATTCATAATTCTCTCATATCACATTGCATGACATTTGCAATTAAAAGAATGCAATGTGCCAGCTCCCAGGAGTAAGCCTTTGTGTGTGTATATTTCTACCCCTTTCCCCTTTGGTCAGAGTGTATCCACTACTTCGCCTCTTTCCTCCAGTTCAGTAATGCCCTGAAATGAATTCAGATTTGTCAGACAAGCCTGTTCCTCCTTTCATGAAGCTGTACTGACTCACTCACCCTTCCGGCACTGTGAACTTATTAATATTTTATACTCCTAATCCCTCCACCCTAAAGAGAGATAGAGAGAGAGCCATAGAGCACAAAGCTGGGTAATGTGTGGGCAGCATGAAATCCTCCATCTTTTCAGACTTTCCTTCAGAAACAGGAGTGGGGAGAAATTTGGGGATGTTTGGAAGAGATGGGTACTGCTGCTCCAATTTTTTGTGTACATAGGACTGGGTTGTATTGCTTACTGTTTTATGGTGCATAGCTGTCAACCTTCCCTTTTTTTGCGGGAAATTCCCTTTTTCCAGTGCTGTTTCCCGCTGCTATCCTGGATTGTTAGATATCCCGTAGACTGTCCCTGGGACAGGTGAGGCTGCTGATCCCTTATTTTTGAGGCTGCTGATCCCTTATTTTCAAATCTGAAAGTTGACAGCTATGTTATGGTGTGAGGCCTGGATACTTTACTTTAGGGATGGGGATAAATTCAATTCAGTTCACATTCCAAGGTGAGCCTACCTAATTCACACTTTGAGAACCAAAACACACACGTCCTTCAATATATACACTTCTCGGCATTTTGCAATGCAGTTCTCCAGCCAAATACGCAAACACATATTCAACAGTAAAGCGTCCACATAAATGCATAGATTGGTGAAAGTAGTACACAAAAATACACTATTTTAGGGGACAAGCTTTGCAGAAATTGGCATATTGTGCAAAATTGCATACAAATATTAAGAGAAATTCACAATAAAATGCAGTGAATTTTCATGAGGATTTTTTTTAAAAAAACAACCATGCAAACTAATGTGGCAAACTGCAGAACTGAATTTAAGATTAGAGAAATGAGAAAAACATATCTTACTTTATGTTCCCCCTTTATAAGGCTCAGCCTAGTCACAGCATACCCAGCAGAGCTGCTGCTGTGCATATATGGAATGGGATTACTAACACTCCTTAGGATGTTACCACATGATGATGTGACATTGTTACCTGGGCTGCTGTAAGGGGATATGTGGCTGGCCATCTTTTTCCTTACAGAGCCCCTGGTAATGATAATGTTTCATCAAATAGCTATCTTCCTGGAGAATTAGTTGCCTCATTTCCCAAGTGTGTGACATTTGCGCTGCTAAGCACTCTGCCTCCATGTCACAAATCTATATTAAAATTAATGAAAAAAGGACCCTGCCTTCAGACTGCTATAAGTACTACAACACTCCCTCCCTTGCAAATGGTCATCGTTCCCCCCTATTAAAAAAAGGCCTTGCGAGTACATGTAAAAACATTTGCACATGTGTATTTTGCATAGCTGGAGTGTGGAGTCTGAAGACTCAGTCCAAATGCCTACTTAACCATGTAGTTCATTGCCTGTTTTTCATTCAGAATTGAGCCTGCGGCAGATCTTGGACTGGCACCCCATATGTACTCAGGAAAGTGATTTGGCTTGTATACTACCAGTTGCCAATATGGCAATTGAAAGGAGACCAGCTACATTGGCCAAGGAAGCTTCCCTGCACTAATTGACTAGAGCAGGTAGCATAATATTCCCTATTTACTATAAAGGCTTCCAGATGAGGCTTGCTTGCTGAGGCGAACTTCTGTTGAGGCTTCAGTCTCCATTGTCCTCTGCTTTCAACTCTTTGACTTTGCAACTCTAGCCCTAACTCTGGCTTTACTTTCAACTTAACAAGGCACAGTCTTGATGCTTCCTAACCTACTTCAAGGATAAAAATGAGATAATCCCATGTATGCCATCCTGAAACATGGGTTGCAAAAAATACCTAAAGCCTGTAGGCAGATTATGGCTTATCTCAAAATGTACCAAGAGAAGTCTGCAGAAACCATCAGCTTTGTGGCAGTTATGCAAAGGGTTAACTAGATTCTGGAAGAATGTTATTCATGAGGTTTTCAGTGTACTCAATGTACTGTTTGTATGCACCGTTTTTGTTTTGAGTAGGAGGCTGTTTAAAGTATTGAAAATAGATCATTGGAATGACAAACATATCAATAAAGAGTAACACTCCCTGTACCTTCTAAAATGGAGGAGGTAGTGTAAATGGTTGTGTAGATTGCAGGAAACAAGACTGCCAAAGACCCATGTACAGACATTTGCCTGAACATGCAAGGGGTAAATGGAGGGCAGGGTATGTATTCAAGCCCCATCCCCAGTGCCTCTGTGAACATGGCTCCTCTCAGCTCTTCACACGTGGAGCATGAAGTTCTGAAATGGACTTCCATGTGCATTGAACTGAACACTCTTAGAAGCTTCCAAAACAATCAGGAACCCGTCTTTACTAGGATTCCTGACTGCGTAAACAAGGATTGGGAATCTCAGCCTCAGGGCTAAATTTGACCTTCCAGGCTTCTCTACCTAACCCATGGAGCTCTCTCCAACCACACTGCTCCCTGGACCTGCTTTGCACCCTGTGTATTTTAGAGGGGTTTCCTGGCTGGAACGTGTCCTTGAAATCTGATGGTGTGTCTTGCTTCTCTGGATGGAAGAGAGAGCGAGAGTGTGTGTGTGAGAGTGTGTGCATGTGCGCATAAACTAGGCTACTGTATAAAGGCAAAATCTGCACTGGTTTCTCACATCGTTTTGTCTCTGGCCCTGTACATGTAGCTCTTGGAAGGGAATGGAGCCCTCAGGATGGAAAAGCTTCCCCTCCTTTGACATAGAGGCTTCCAAGCTCATACAGCTTAGAAGCCCCTTTCCAATGTTTGCATTTAAGATGCTGAGATTTCAGAGGAGTCCCACCCCCACCCCAATATGGGGATTTTCCTTGTCTACACTTTTATCCCTTGAATGTACCTTAAAAGTCTTTGTGATGTATTTTTGAAGGCTTATGTGATCTGCTTGCAAAGCATTGTAGCCACTAAAGTGTTTCTCAGGCACAGATTATAGGCTGAGTTGGAGAAGTTTTGTCCCACCCACCCACCTCCAAAGCCCCTCACCCTGTTTCCCCACCCCTTCACTAACTAACTTCCTTGTACTTCCAACTCTGGTTAAAGGAGGAGGGAAGGGGGGTCTCTTTCTCCCCTGTCAGTGGCAGACCTTGGGGGTCTCAAATTTCAGTGGCACCCTCTGCGACGCCTTCCTTTCTACCTCATAGTTGCGGAGCCCCCTGCAGCACCCCCAAGGCTCCCCTAAATTTCTCTTTGCAGCTTGGCATGCCTGCTGGTAGAGCAACAAGCCAAGTAAGCAGGTGGGAAAGGGTTGTTTCAGTGGGAAAGGGTTGTTTCAGGAGGATTCCTGGAGAAAGTTGGGGAAGTAAGCAGACATTGTCATGCCCCTTGTGGCATCATCATTTGGGACATTGAAGAATTGGGCTCTGAATTCTATATCTCACCTTGAATTATCTAAGATCAGTTCTGAGCCTGAACTGGGCAAATGGCTCCATCGCTATATCCATTTACTACTTCCTGCGAAAGAAATCGGCTGCACATTGCCACATTGCTCAGTTTTGTGACTCTCTCTGTGCCTCAAAATCCTCCATCTCTGTTTCCAGATAGCAATTCTCATATTGTTTCCTTTCTTGTTATTTGATCGTTATTCTGAATTGGGTCACGTATCAGTTGCTGGCACATTGTACCCCCTGGTCTTATTGCTTCCAATCGAGGTAATCTAGCTTTTATCTATCTGGATAATTTAAATTGTACATTACTCACACTCTAGCCTTTTTAAAGGCTGCTTTATTAGCAAAACCATTTCATAGTCCAGTTGTTCTTTCCGCAGTAGAAGAATCCTGCAATCTGTCCTGATACCTAACTTCTTATCCTGAGCATATTGAGTTTCTCTAGATGATGATTTTATTCTGTTTTACTTTTTTATTTTTTTTACC